AGGAAGAGGAGGAAGAGGAGGAGGAGGAGGAGAAATAAGAAGAAAGAAGAAAGAAGAAAGAAGAAAGAAGAAAGAAGAAAGAAGAAAGAAGAAAGAAGAAGAAGAAGAAGAAGAAGAAGAAGAAGAAGAAGAAGAAGAAGAAGAAGAAGAAGAAGAAGTAGTAGTAGTATTTGGCCAAATACCTGAAAGCTTTCACAACCCAGAAATGTCTAAGAAAACTTCACCACTGCTTGTAGACCCTGAAGGCTGTTGGAACAGAAAGGGGCACTGGAGAATCTGAATGACAAAGTGACAAGTGTAGCTTGTTATATAAGCTATTAGTAGCAAAGAAAAATGGATGTGAGATCTACGTAAACTCTCTACACTATCTTTGCAATAATTCTACAAATGTAACACTGCTGAAAACTTTAAACATCCTTTCAAATAAGTGAATGGAGACCTGTAGGATGATACCAAATGGCAGCACACCCGTGCAGCCTGCCCACGAAGACTTACATCAGTGAAGGGAAGTCTTTGCAGACGTCAGGGCTGCGCATCAGCTTGATGAACAACACCCACGACACTATAAAGTTAAGCAGGGTGTATGTGGCTGTAAAGAAAAGCTGCCCGTGGTCACACCATAGGCATGCTGAGAAAAGCCAAACATAGAAAGAAACTGTGGAGTGGGCCAAAGAAAACAAGCCGCATTGCATGCAGGAAAGAGAAGAACACTCGTGATGGCTGTATTAGTAAAACAAATCAGAGTGACAAATGAAAAATGAACAGCAAGGGGACAGATGCAAACCCAATCACATCAGCCATTGCATTAAATATAAACGAACTAAACTTCTAAATCAAACAGCAAAGATTGCTTCACTGGGTACAAATCATGTCTGTATTACAGGCTCACTACAAAAGACTGGCTTTGAAATAAAAAGATCAAAAGCAAAGGCTTGCAAAAGATATAATATGCAAATGCAGATGAAGGAGTCTGCTGTGATTCTATTGAGAAAAAAATGGAATAGACTTTCGGATTATTATCTGTCTTTTTGAGACAGGGTCTCGCTAGGCAGCTCAGGCTGGCCTTGAGCTCACTTTGTAGCCCAGGCTGGTCTTGAACTCACAATGATCCTCCTGCCTCAGACTCCCAAATTCTGGGATTACAGGCGTGTGCCATACCCAGTTTGGAATAGACTTTGAAGCAAGCAAACGAACAAAACAAAAATCAGATAAATGATGATTAAAGAGATAAATGATGATTTAAAAAGTCAATTTGTTAAGTAAAGCTATCTAAGTATGTATGTCTCAAATAGTGGAGTATTAGAACATACTAAGCAAACATTGACAACTATAAAGGGAGAAATAGATCAAAAAATAGAGCTAGAAATTTAAAAGCTCCTCGGTAAGCCAACAAATATGTCAGTTAGGTTATAGAATATTTGAACAGCACATATTTGATCTAACTGGTATTTATAAAGTACCCTACCTAACAGCAGCAAAGAACAAGTTCAAAGTTCACATGAAGCACTCTCATAAGGGTGGGCCGTAGAATAGGTCATGGGAAGTGGGAGCCACGGGAAGTGGAAGCCATGGGAAGTGGGAGCCACGGGAAGTGGGAGCCACGGGAAGTGGGAGCCACGGGAAGTGGAAATGATGGTTAAGAAGTGCTGGATGGGACAGTTGTCCACAAAACACTGTGACCACAGCTGGGGCCTTGTCTGCTGTAGGACTCAGTTTCTCCATCTGTTCGATTGGGTGTTGAGCTCCAGGACTCTGGGGTGTCCACCTAGAGCACATTCCCAGCCCACAGGGCTCAGGCTGACTCCTGCAACCCTCCTCTGCATTCCCTGCATTGCAAGGTCTCCCCATGCTGCCCCCCCAACCAGGACCCAATGCGTGTCTGTCCCTTGGCCCTTGGGCTCCAACTCAGGGCGTCTCTCCTCCAGTGGAGTATGTGGCAGCTGGCCTCTCACTGCGGGTCTAATTCCAGTCTGACCCTGTCCCCTGCCTCGGCCTCCTGAGCCACGCCCTCATGGTGTCTCAGACCTGGCATCCTTCCCTCAAACTCCCCACCTGGGGATAAGGGGCTTGTGTGGGTGGGGTGACATGGTGGTGACATCTAGGGGTGTAGCTTGGAGTCTCCTCCCGTAGAGGCCATGCACCCCAGGCTGAGGTCCCAGAAAGGGTCCCTCTTCGCCTCCCAGGAACCCTTAAATCGGTCACCTTGCTAGGTCTCTCGCAGCCTCTGGCTCCAGGAGGATCTCCGCACCCCTGTGACTTAGCTAACTCTGGCCCCTGCAGGAAGGACCCTGATGCGGGATGAGGGGTACCCAGGCTTCAGAAGCGGATCACAGGGCCCAGACGCGGGGCCACAGCGACAGAGCTGTGTGAGTGGTGGCTGCCACGCGAAGTCGCCCTGTGCCGCCGGTTCCAAGTGTTTCCAGAGAAGTGCTTTGCATCTTGGGGACGTGATGGCAGCAAGTCAAGGAGATGAGAGCCTGTAAATACAGATGTTCCCATGTCGTCTGGGGTGTGTATTTATAGCTGGATATAAGAAGAAGGGTGAAATCGCTGAGTCTCAGCCGTGGTTGACAAGGGCCTCGGGTACCGGGACACTTCCTCTTGATTTTGTCTGTGTGTCTTCCTAATTTTGCACCACGGAAAGAATAAACTCTCGTCTAATTGAGAAGGAAGAAAAAAGTTCAAGAATTCAGAAAATAACACCAAATGCTTTTAAGAGAACGTCTGTGCTCCCTCCTCTGGCTGCTCCCAGCTCTGCTCCTGCCGACCCCACTTGACCTTTGTTCCTTGTCCCAGAGGGGTCTGTCCCAGGCTCCCTGACTCACAGGGCTGGTTGCCATGGCAGCCACAGCGCAGCCCCATCCGACCTCCAGCTGAGCGGTGGTTCCTCCAGGTGGGCATCAGGGCGGTGCTCAGGTGTGGGTGCTCACGGGCGTGCAATTGTCTCCACCCTTTCTGCATGGAGGCCTGGGCCAGTGGGGCTGTTTTTCTCTTGCTGGGGACATTGAGCAAAGGCACAGCAAAGAGTAGCATTTGCCTTTCCAGGGAGCTCGGCCACCACAGATGGACAGACACAGGCGGCCTGGGCACTCCCAGGGCCTGTCCTTTTCACTGTAGCAAGCCCTCTGCTCACAGCAGGCAGGGCCTCACTGCTTGGTTTTACAGCCACCGTGGGGGCTGCAGATGTGGGGACCCGTGAGCGATGCTCGTGTCACCAAGGACAATGTGCCAGGGCCCCGGCAGGCCAGGCAGGAGGGGCACATGTGAGCCTGGAGTCAGGTCCTGTTGTCCTAGGCTGGCGCAGCCCCTCCCCTGAGGAAGCCCCCAACCTCTCCGGACCTCTTGGATTTCACCTAAGAAATGGGTGCGCTCCCTAGTGTGCATTTGGGCATGGTGTCTGTCCCTGGCCTCCCAAGTTTTCTCCAGCGTCTTCCGAGTAGACGCAGGGTTACACGGTGCCTTGTGTCACCCTGTGGGGACAAGCACAGAGCAGCTCGGGTGCCCCATCTTGGCTCCCAGGTAGCCTCATGTCCCAGCCCTGCTCTGGACAGGTGACCACCTGTTCTCTGTCATTTTGCAGATCAGGAGACCAGGGCTCCCAGGGCGGAGAGTCCTGCCTGCACTGCGGCCAGACCAGGCTGCTGAGGCCCTGCTGTCCTTGCCACAGGGGCATGGAGACCCCGGCCTGCCCTGTGTTCTCACAGGAGAAGCCGGAGGGCCCAGTCCCTTCCTGGCCTGCTCCTCTCTTCTAGAACATTCCCAGGAAGCGACAGCTTGGCCCAGGATCGGGCTACTTGGGGCTGCTGGAGATCTCAGCTGGGATCCTGGCGTCTGGGGAAGGGCCGAGCTCTAAAAATAACCTGCTCGCCTGAGCCTGAGCCGCTGCAGGAGCCTGGAGAGCTGCGGCCGCCTGACTGTGGCAGATGACGGCAGCCCTGGCCCAGCCGTGGCGCCCCTGTCGCAGGCAGCTGGTCCTTGGGATGGGCTGGCAGCAGGTGGCAGCCAGGAATACTTGACCCCGGCCCCCAGAGGCTCCAGGCCCTGCAGGCGCACACGCACATGCCCCAGCCCGGGATGGGCTGCCCACAGCGTAGCAGGGGCTTCACCTGAGCAGGAGCGGCAGCCTGGGTTCCTGGAGTGGTCTCCGTGCCAGCCTCCCTTGCCCTGACAGTGACTAGCCTCAGGCACAGGTAAGGGGCCACTGGCATGGGCAAGAGATGACTGTGGCCTGGGGGTGTCTCTGGGGAGGCAGGAGCAACTTTCTGTGCGGCTTGTGTCCTCTCTCGACTCCCAGGATCCCGACTGGAGCGTCGGTCTCCAAGGGAGGGGTCCGCGAGCCACTTCTGCCTGGCAAGGGCAGTTGGGCGCCCTGGCTTTCCTGATACTCTCGGCCGCCACCCAAATGTCGGCATCCCCTCGGCCTCGGCAGATATCAGCCCCACAAGATTTGGAATTGGTGTGTTGTTGGCTTGCAGAAGCTGTTCCTTTGGGAGGAGAAAGACGCCCCCACCTGCGCTAACTGTGGCTGGGGGCAGGAGAGGCACCCCCAGGTTCTGCCCTGCTGCTGTGGGCAAGGGTCTTTGGGGAGGACCAGTGCAGGAGATGCCTTCATGGGGGAGGGAGAGGCCCTTCCATGGGTCCTGAGCTTCCTGAGTCTGGGTCAGGCTTCAGGCTCACAGGAAGGAGCTGTTCCTCTGGTGGGAGCGGCTTCGGGCCCTAATTAAAAGGAGGGGACTGGTCAGAGAGCTAGGGCCCCTTGGCCTCCTGGTGCTTGGAAGGAAGGGTGTCATCCGACTTTGTGTCCACACTGGGCCCACCATGGCTCCTCACCTAGAAGCAGGATTGTAGCCTTGGAATCTGCAAGGCCCTGCTGGCCTTTGCCACGGCCACCACCCTCACACTCATAGAAGAGGCACTGTGGGTGGCCCCAGGGCATTGGGAGGGACCTTGGTCAGGTGGCAAAGGTGTCACGGAGGGAGCAGGATTGGGTGTGATGGGCTCGTTAAAGCCTGCGGTGGCCGGGTGGCGAGTGGCACAGCTGGCTCCTACAGTGGGGCAGGGAGGCCAGAGCAACAGGGCCGGGGCCACTGGGAGGCGTTTGGCCCAGGATGCAGCTGCTGTGGGGGGCCTGTGAGGAGAGCTCTGGGGATGGGGGTGCAGATGCGGGGGGCAGCCTTCATGGGCCTGGGACTTGCATGTGGCCCCTGCAAGCAGCACGCAGACCCTCGTTCCAGTGTCCATGTCCCCAGGACCCTGCTCAGTGCCCAGTGTCCTACAGATCTGCCCAGTTCTGTGGGGCTTCCAGCCCTTTGTATGTCTGTGTCACCAAGACCAGGCACTGTCATCTCTGGGCTTCCTCCTGACGCTAGGGCTCCCAGCTGGGCAGATGTGGGAAAGGCCCATGGCTCCTCGGCTCAGTCTTCTCATCAATAGAATGGGGCCAGGCTCCTGTGGTGACTCTATCTAGATGTCCCTAAAGCCTCCTGAGTACACAGGCAGGACCTTCGGGCGTTGCTGATAGGCGGCAGGGCCTGGCCACAGAGCCTGGCCATGGACAAGGTCGCTGTGGGCATGGCCTGGAAGGTCACCTCCCGGTCTGGCTCTTGTTGAGCAGCTCTCTTCTGTGACACTCTCCTACCTGGGACCCAGCTGAGTGTGGACAGAAACATGAGCTGAGCTAAAAACCCCTCCTGGAAGTTTCTGGGTGTCAGGTGCTGCGTCCCAGAGCAGACAGCATCCAAGACAGCGCCTCTCCTGCTCCCAGGGCAGCCGGAGGAGGAAGCGCTCTTAGTCAGGAAGCAGGAGCCAGCGCAGGGCAGGCTGGGGAGGGGACGCTGGGTATGCCACGGTCTCACTGGGCCTCAGGAGCGGTACTTCCCAGCTTGGAGCCTGGCACACTGGAGGCCGCAGCACTGTCAACTCCACGCTCACCCGTGCACTCACGTGTGCGCTGCACACACTCCAAGCTCGGGTGACTGGCAGCGACCCTCTCACAGGCTCCGCCTCCCGGCGCTGCCACTATGCCCAGCCCACGCGACCAGGACAGGGGACAGTATCTAGGACCACTCGCCATGCCTCAGCCCACGGGGTCCTGACCGACAGCCCAGCACATGTTTTTGGGTCCAGAGCATGCAAATGGCCTCCTCCAGTGGGAGGCGAGGCTTTGGTAGTGGCTGGATCTCAGACACTGGGCTCCACAGTGGACTCCTTGATGAGTTTGAGGCTGGACCTGCTGAGGAGGCCAGTTCTGGGGCTGTATCCGGAAGCGGGTAGCTCCCACCTAGCTCCTTGTTTCTCTCTCTCTGCTTTCTGCCTACCAAGTTTCTAGTGCCTCTCCTCTCCAGCAGATACTGCTACCAAGCTGCTCTGCATTTGAGCCAGCTGGTCACGGGCTGAAGCTGTGGGACATTTCATCCGGATCAGCAGCCCCTCAGAGAAAGGGGTAACCTTCCTCTGAGTCAGTGCATTGGTCAGCGCTGGCTGTCACAGTGCTATGTAACAAGCATCCCCCAATGCTGACAATACGCATGGATTTCTCCTATTCCTGGGGCCATGGAGTGGTGGGGTTTGGCTGTCTGAGTTGGGTGGCTGGGCTCCTGCCTGGAGACTAGTTTGAGGCCTGTGTTTTGTTTGGTGGGAGCAGAAAAGGAGAAGACAAAGCCAAGCTCAGAGCTGTGGGGTGGGGGGGCACATCAGCACTGGGTAATAACACTCTATGCAGTGTGGGGCTCTGAGAGGAGGGATGGGCAGGGAGTCCTGAGTGCCACTGGGGGCTCTGGGCAGATGGCAGTGTCAGCGGGCCAAGGAGCGGAGGAAGGCATCCTGCACGCGGGTGGGTGCTGCCCAGGCCGAGGCTCCGAGGCAGAAGTCTGCACTGCTGCCCTTCAGGCCATCTGTCTCTGGGCCTGGATATTGCAGTGTGGGCAGCCCCGGGCCCCCGAGGACAGAAGGGTCCCCGCACCAGAGCTGTTTCCAGAGCCCCGCAGGCGCTCAGCACCAGCCCCTAGGGAAGCACAGCTGGCAACCTCCGCTCTCGTTACTTGGATTAGCACTGTCCTGTTCTTTAACAATCCGTAGCCGAACGCCCTGGACATGGCTGCTCTGGAGAATCACCCAGGCAGTGGCAGCGGGAGAGGCTGGCCCCTCACAAGTGCTCCGGTTCTTGTGAATGTGCAGGATACTAAACCCACCTCCCAGTGCTCCCAGGCTACGAAGGAGCCTAATGCGGCCCGCTGCGCTCTCGAGGGGCAGGGCCACTGCTCCCAGTTAAATGCTCCTTTGTCTTGCACCAACTCCAGCCCCTGAGCAGAGAGCAGGCATTTAAGAAAATGGACCATATTCAGACTCATTTGTGCAGGGGCTCGGTCACCTCATCCAGTGTGCCACTTGCTGAGAGGCCCACCGTGCAGAACCACAGCCCTGTGCCCGAATCGTAGGCCCTGGGCACCTCCCTTTTTCCCCACAACCCTCAGTTTATCCATCTTGGAAGTGGGCTGAGGAGCCCTGCTTGGCCAGTGCTCCAGGAGAGATGGGAAAACCAGAGGACACAGTAGGGGTGTCAGTGTGGGGGGCACTGCCCATGGGGGACATGGGGCAGGAAGGGAGCAAGGAAGGTCCCCAGGTGGGCCACAGCAAGGAAAGAGAGAACGGGGAGCTTGCCCCCCCACTCTGTGGCGATAATGATGAACAGGGACCCAGCAACATCCAGTGTTACTGACAAGCCTGTGTCATAGTCGACTGAAGACCCCTGAGCTCCAGGGACACGGGAGCCCCTATGGCTGCGGGCACCGGGGACTGGGACCCCCGTTTCTGCACCTAGCTACACAGGGGCCCGGACCTTAGTGTCAGCTCTGGCTTGGAAAGGGAAGACCTGAGCACATACCATCGCTGGATGGCGGAGTCCCAGGCGAGAGCCACGGACACCAGGGCGGGACACGGCCCGGTGTTGCGGCCCGAGCACCAGGGCTGAGTGACCACTGCACGCTCAGATCACACGTGCCCGGCGGCCTGGCGCTCCCTGGCGGCACTGCTCATCCGTCACTAGGGTTGGGTGGTTGCAGCGTCTCCTCTGGGTGCCCAGCTCTGATTCCAGACCTGCTTTGGTGGCCGCAGCAGCCCCACCCCACCCAGCTCTATGAGGACGGGGAGGTCTCTGCCAGAAGCACAGAGAGCCCTGGGCCGGGTCCTCTGGGTCTTGCAGGTTAGGTGCCTCCCTGAGGGGGCAGCCTCCTGGTGGGGCTGGAGCTGCCTTGGGCAGGTTTTCAAGTGACCGCTGGGCTAAGGGCAGCTTGGCATGGGGGAGGCCAAGCAGGGGTGGGCGGTGCCGGGCAGAGCCCTTTCTTCCAGGAAGGTGACCTGGCCTAGGGCCGTACGACCTGCCCACCCCAGCACACGTGGCCAGAGCCTACCTGGCTATGCCCACTCCTCTAGCCCTGCCCTTGGCCATGCCAGGGACGTAGGTTGCGTGCCAGGGCCACCAGCCCTGGGGCACAGCGGGCCTGAGGGCTTTCTGCCCTCCTGGTCGCTCCTCCTGGTCGCTCCTTTCCTCCTGCCCCCTCTCCCGAGTTGCATCCTCCTCCCTCTCAGCCCAAGTGGCCCTGAAATAAAGCTCAAGTGTCCTCTCCAGCAATTCCAGCAGATTGGATGTTTTCTGTTCTTAATTTGAAATGTGGACAAGTGGGGTATTTTCTCGTTCTCTCTCTCCAAAATGTACAACCCCAGCCACCCACTTGAGTTAATTGATTCCTCTCCCATGCTGCCTTCCCTGCATTGGCCTGGGTCAGGGGACACTTGACACAGCCCCCTTGCCTTCTCCTCTGCGTGCTGTGTGCTGTGACATGGGGTCTCTGCAAGCTCATCTGGGCTCTCAGGCTCAGTTTCTCTGTCATCTAAGGGGACATCAGGGCTTGGGGGCTCAGGGACAGTTCCCCACCACCTGCAGAGCAGAGTGTCCCTGGGCTTTAGGCCTCGAGCTGCCTGGCCTGGGCCAGGGTTCTCATCCTTCGCTGCACAGGTAGGAGCAGCCACAGGTCCCCCGCCAGGCTCCTCTGGGTCCATGGACGCTGCTGTCCCTATTCCCCGCTCTGGTCACCCCAGCAGCCTCAGCCCAGTTTGTCCTCTCTGCACAGAGCTGACCAAACAGGCCAATTCACAGGGCTCCAAGGCCTGACATGAAAGCAGTGTGGGCGAC